ATATTTATATCATATTATATTATATAATATTATTAAATATTTTTATAATTTTATAATTATCATTTATACAATTCTGTTTGTTTTTAGGTTATGCAATGATTATGAAAATGGGATATAAACCTGGTCATGGCATAGGTAAAACAGAATCAGGAAGAATTGAACCAATTAACCTTGACATTAAATTAGATAGACAAGGTTTAGGAAAACAAAATGAGAGAAAAGGAAGAAAAAATAAAAATAATATATTTAATAATAATTTAGATAATAAGAGTATGAAAGATTTTCGAGATAGAATTGCACAAAAAAGAAAAGAACAATTGTTAAAAACAGATTTATATAAAAGTCAAAAAATTTGTCAAAAATTAGATATGCAACAAGAAATAATAAAACCTAAAGAAATATGGTTTTGGTTGCCTCAAGATGATGAAAATAGCGATAGTGAAAAAGATGATGATTTCTTCCCTGTTAATGAAAAACTTGAAATTTTAACAAAATATTTAAGAGAAAAGTATTTTTATTGTATTTGGTGTGGAGTAGCATTTCTGGATGAAAAAGATTTAGTAGATAATTGTCCAGGAAATGAAAGAAATGATCATTAAATGGTTTTAATTTAATTAAATGTACATATAAATAAAAATAAATTAAAATTTCATTAATATGTTTTTATTTACACCTATATTTTAATCACATAGTAAAATATAAAAGATTTAAGATCTAAAAAATTAATAATGCTTCTTTAGTATGATCACCCAGAGAGTGAAAACATAAAAAGGCCATTAGAGTCATAATGCAAAATACTAAAAAAAAACAGTCTCTATACTAGAAAAAATCTAATAGTGTGCAATATAAGGGAAACTAATCCTGATTCAGTTATGCTATTATGTCTTAGCAGGAGTTCAGCACCCCCAAGTAACAACATATTGAAGGGAAAGCTACCTATAAAAGCATCTGTTTGATTTTCTGTTCTTTCATTTCACTTAGAATCTCTGAGCATATCTTTGCTATATTAAAAATAGATTCTATAAAATATCAATAAAATATCAATGAAAGAAAACTTCAGTATTATGTTCGTATATTCAATTTTTTTGATATTAATTATATTCATATATACTAATGAAACAGTTGCTCAAGTAACAGATGATGAGAGTTGTGAAACATTGCAATCAGAAGTACATATTACAAAAGGTATTATTTTTTTTTCCCTAATTTCATTAAATATATAAATAATTCAATATATAAATAAAAAAAATAAAATATTTTTTATTTATTTTAGATGAATATGATGAAATAGGTCGGTTAAAAAGAACATGTAGTGGAGATATATCTGTTACAAAATGTGAAGGATTTTGTAATTCACAGGTACAACCAAGTGTAGCAAGTACAACAGGATTTTCAAAGGTAAAAATATTAAGATAAAGTACAAAAAATATTTCTATAAGAGCAATAAAAAAACTTATTTTTTTTGTAATAGGAATGTTATTGCTGCCGTGAAAGTTATTTAAAAGAAAGACATATTACATTACATCATTGTTATGATGCAGATGGTATAAAATTAATGAATGAAGAAAATGGAGTAATGGAAATCAAGATACGTGAACCAGTAGAATGTAAATGTATTAAATGTGGTGATATATCCCAATAAATAATTTATAAAAATGATAATAAAATTATTATTTATAAATTATGTAATAAAAATTATATAATTCAAAATAAAAATGAAAATACAAAATACATATAAAATAATTTACTTTCTTTATCTCCTTATATTTATAAATAATATTAAAAAATACAATTTATTGAATATCAAATTTAAATAAGTTTAAATATTATAATATTATTTAAAATGAATTATTTTATAATATAATAAGTTATACAGTAAAAAGTGATTAAATGTTATATTTAATATTTTCTTTTTATTTATTATAATATAATTTTATAATA